CTACTGATCCTGAGTCAAATTAAAAAGGTTCGCCATTGGGTAGAGTAAGCTGTCTCCCCTAAATGTATGGGCTTTTGTGTACAGAGCAAGCATACACAATAGCTCTGACAAGAGTTGTACGTACACAAAGCCATCTTGGGTTTATAGCATGTAAGGCAATTACTTTTAAGTGCAATTTAAGGGACATTTCCATGTTGAAAACAATGAGCAAGACTGGACTAGTTCCTTGCGTGAGCAAAAACTGAAATGATACCATTTTGGGGATAAAACCTCTGAGGAACGTTTGCAGTTCGTACAGGAATCTAGCTTTGTCCAAAAAGCAAGGCTGTTCTCTCTGCCTGAGTGTGATGAAGTAGACAACAATTAAGCTGATCCTGGTTTTATATAAAGGGTGTGACACATCTATTCTTTACAAGTGGGGTTCAATTTTGTGTAGCTTCTCAAGGCTCTGAGGCAGGAATTTTCCTACAGAAAGTAGCGGTATTAACTAATGAGCTTTTTATTGGCCAATTACTCTAATTGCATTGAATTTACTGAGAGGAATGGGAATATCATTTTTGCAACCCACCCATGCCTTCTCAGAGTTTTTTTCACATTTTTTCTTCTTACCAAAGAAAACTTAGGAAAGCCAAAATCACTGGATAGTAATCTCAAAATTGTTATTAGCAGTAGAAACTCTCAGTTTGGAAGGACTCCAAAGCTTTCTAATGAATTTTCAACACCTCTGGAAATTATAATGCCTGAGCTTCTTCCAGGAGTCACAACACTTATACTAGCTTCAGACAATTGTGATGAGGGTGGATCTTCAAACGTCTTTTGTGTTTTAACTTGTTGAAGCTATGTACTGCTTTGTTTCCAAATTACACCTTTGTTATGACCATTGACCAATTTAAAGTAAGAATGTAACAAAACAAGCAAAATATTAACACAAAGAGCATGTTGGTAAGATCCAGGTAAAGCTCAGAAACTATGCAGCTTGGCACTGTTCCAATTTTGGGAGCCATTTGATGGACCATGGTACAAATTTTGGTCACATGAAGATACATGCTGTATCTGTATATGTGCTTTTGTTTCCAAGTTCTAATGATTCTGGGATTTTGTTTTTCATGCTTATAATTCCTTAGGCAATCTGCCATAATCCTTTTTTTGAAGAGAAAAAGAAGTTCATTAGAGATTTCATAGCTTCATTTATTTGCAGTGTTCAACTTGTGTGCCCTTAACTATTTCTTTCACTTAGTCCTGTTCACACAATGAATGAAAGGCCTTCAACTGCAGCCATTTTCAATTAGCTCTCCTCTCAAAATCTTCCCCCAAGGTGACAAATATGCGTACCGGTACCTAAAAGTACAAGAAAAGGATTATACTTTTCTGTAAACGATTATACTATGTCTGTAAGGGTAGCCTTGGGTGTGGTTTTCTGAGGAAAATCTTTACAGGTTTATTTAGATTACATAAAGTATTTCATTTCTTATTTTCACAAATCTTGAACCATTACAGGGAAAAGTACTTTAGAGATGCAAATGACCAAAGAAAATAGCAAAAACTTGAAAGTAGTGTACAAAACTAGAAAGGATATAAAATGATCAACAGTTCTGCATATGGAATCAATACATACGGTTTTATGTTCACGCATACCAGTTCCATCAATATTATATGAAGGTCACCAGAGGACACCTTACGGAGGAGTTAAAAGCCAGCACAGAGCCAGGAAAAATTACTGGGCTAATGCAACTGTACAGCTGAATAAGGCAAATCTCCAGTTGCTTTCTTTTCTATTTAAGGCAAAATGAATTGTGATTCACAATTCCCAGAATGAACTGTCATGTTACAAAGAAGATGACAAAGCTCACACTCTCCAGATTTCTTACCTTGTACACAATAACATAGTTTGTTGAGAAGCCAGTTCTTTCCAAGGAAATTCTCCAAAATATTGCCTAATACTGTATTTATTAAATATCCATAGGTTTTTGTAGTAGGTAAGAATCTATGATCTTGCTGCATTTGCTTCAGTCTAACTTAACAGAAGAAAGCAAGACCAAGATATCTGAGAACGATGTTTACCTTTCATATTTCAACCACGAAAGGTTGCCAAGTGTGTGGGAGTAAACTGCTATATTTATTCATTTTTTAATCCTACCCTTCTTCTAAAGTGATTGTGATATATTTTTTCTTCCAATGATATTCCCTCCCCACAAGCCTTGTGAAGCAGTTTAGTCTGTTCCAAAGTAAATCATTATCTTGATCTGCATAGCGTGGTTAAGTCATACTGTGATTTGTTACATTTTGCCTTAATACAATGTGTAATTTAGCTGTTAGGTATTATGAATCATGGTTTCTGATTTAGTGTTCTCTGAATCAAGCTGATATGATTGAGTTTATACATCATGCTAAACAGTTTGGGTTTATTGAATTAATCACAATTATCTGGATTCACACAATATAGCACATTATCAGGGCTCTCACAATCTAAAGCAAGCGAACTTAGTTGTATGGTGTATGAATTTGACTAACTAGTTTATAGTGCAACGTGTAAACTTGGCTAATAAAACAGAGGAGTTAACAATTGAATCCAATTCTAAGTGGCCTATATCTTGCTTAATTATTAGTTTAATATTTCTGTCAAATGTCTAGCAATGAGCTTTCCATTCTCCCAACTGCTGCTGAGCACTCATCATCTTGCCAAAAGAACAAAAGGATGAAAACTCTTTTTCATGTCTGTTCAAAACAGACCAGGTTTTCTTTCTAAAGGAGATGTGTGAGGGACACAGTGGCCCAGTGTGGCTCTCTATCTTCCACCATACTAGATTTCAAGCTCTGAAATCCTGAATGCTGCTGTTAGAAATATTGTTGTATTCTGGTCTTTTCCCGTGTAAGATTGAGATTGTCTTGGCAACGTTTCGGCGAGATCCCACTCGCCATCTTCAGGTTGGTGTTACACGGGAAAAGACCCAAATACAACAAGAACAGCATATATATAATGTATTGTGTCACAACCCCTGGTATGCCCAAATATGGCTTGAAATAGATCTATACTAGTCTCCCTTTATTTATTTATCAGCACAAATGCAACGTGTGTGTGTGTGTGTGTGTGTGTGTGTGTGTATATATATATATATATATATATATATATATATATATATATATATANTATCACTTTTCTGTTTGAATCCCTAGCGCCATGTAACGGAGTGAGCTCCCATTACTTGTCCCAGCTTCTGCCAATCTAGCAGTTTGAAATCATGTAAAAATGCAACTAGAAAAATAGGAACCACCTTGGGTGGGAAGGTAACAGCATTCTGTGTGTCTTTGGCATTTAGTCATGCCGCTCACATGACCACAGAGACATCTTTGAACAGCGCTGGCTCTTCACCTTTGAAATGGAAATGAGCATCATCCCCTAGAGTCGGGAACGACTAGCACATATGTGTGAGGGGAACCTTTACCTTTTCAACAACACGCCATTTTCTCCCTAAAGACGGATTTGGAGTTGATTAAGTATATAAAAGAAGTTTGTAGGGATATTATCTTAGGATAGCATCTTTCTAGGTATGGTGGATTACCAAAATGGAAAATTTGGGACTTGAAGGGCATTATCTGAAGGGCATTAAGTCAAGGAAAGTCTGTTTGGGTAGCCTTGCATGGAAAAGGCATAAATCCCAAAATTGACAGTATTACCTAACTGCTTAAAAGGTAAAGTCACTTTTGAAAATCTAATTGTGATTTCACCCACCTACAACGTAGCTGACTGCCTGTTATTGAATATCACAAAAAAAATGAGTTTGAGAAGCAATAAAAATACATACTAAAATAACAAAAGAGGTAAAGAATGCAATTATTTCAGGAAATATCCACCAAGAAAAAATGCTGTTTCTTATATGTATACATTATTGAAATAAAAAAATAAAACATTTTTAATACTTATCATTTCCCATGTATTCTTTTACTGAGCAAAACATATTGGGCTCAGAACATACCATAGCATCCAGAGGACTTTCAGATTACATAGCTCTCTCTGAAGCTCTACAAGGAGAGCTACTCTAATGAATTTAACTAACACCTTAATGTATAAAAACTAATACTGGAATTAGTTTTACAACAAATCTAATCATTCTATCTATTCATATCTGTTCACAGTCCTCGATTGATGAAAGGATAATCAAGATCTGATTACAATTATAACCAATCTATATTGCAGATTTGGGGAGAATGCCAATTCCTTTTGCCAGTTTTAACTCTGCCATTCTGAAGCTGAAAGTGGAAAAATCCAACCCTCAAAAAGGACTTCTATATTGCATTACATAACAGATATTATTATGGATGAATTTTTGCACAAGCCTTTCTCCCTCTCCAGATATTTTAAATCTTTTCATTTGGCCTTACTTTGGTGCTAGTCTTGATTGCAAATATTACTGGGAAAAAATGTTCTAGGGTAACGGTCCACGATTGTACCCATGACCAGAGTTTTCCACTTGTTTGTGATTCACTCCAAAATAACCTTTCCCCTTCTCCCAACCCCCACAGAAACAAACTGTGCACACGGGTTGCGTGTTCCAGAGGAAACCTCTTTTAATTTCAGCGGGACCTGCTTACCAGGAGCTGCGTCTGGGTTTATGCCTAAACACCGCAGCTCCCTGCAACGGTGCCCCCGAGAATCATCCCTGGCAGTCAGCTCCACCGCATGCAACAAGTCCAGCTGTTTCCAACCACCCTCACAGGTTGATGCCACAAGCAAAACACAAACGGCACACGTAGCACATCCTCCTTTTGGACGAGCCCCGTTCCCTTTTTCCAAAGGAGAAGGCGACAAAGCGCGCGGGGGGGGGGCGCCTATAGGGTGCAGCGGTACACTTCCACTGCAACCGCCGCCGCCGTGGCACATGGTCATTTGTGTCTCTTACCCTTTTCCGCGGCATTTGGGGAGAAATAAAGAGAACCATTTCCTCCGCCCTCCCGCGGATGTTGAGGAGAACTCCGCTCATCCATCGCCCTTTTCTCGCCCAATGGATCCAGCCCTGCCTGGGGCCCGCCAGCTGCGGCAGGTGAAGATTACCCTTCGGGGGGATTTGTTGACGGTATAAATAATTGCGGGCGGGCTCCTCCTGTCAGGAATCCGGAGGAAGAAAGCGTGAATGACCACGTGCGAAGGGGGAGGAGGAATTGGCGGCGCAACCAAAAAGGAGGGAAGACGGACGGGCTGGCGGAGGGTCTGTGTCGTTCTCGGAGCGGCTGCCCCCTCCGAGCTTTTTCTGCCTGCCCCGGCAAAGAGCGAGCGGCGGGGCGTGGAGTTGGCGCCGGCTGGTTGGCAGGTGGGAGCCAGAATCGCAAGGGACGGCTTGGGTGATTGCACCCCCAAACGTGGATGGGCACAGGTTGGCCCTCGCCTTCCCATTTCCTTTCCTTCTCACGTCGGAGTCTCCCTGAGAACTGCTCTTCCCTCTTCCCTCTCTAGGCTGATTCCGTGCCACACGGGCATCCAGGGTACCGCCGTGCCCCGGGTCGGCTTTAGGCGAAGTCTCGCCGCGCAACCTTTTTCCATCCTATTGCCTCCTCCTCCTCCTCCTCCTGGTGTAACGGATTAAGTATGCTTCCCGATTTCTTGGCAGGACACCTTGCAGGGAACGAGGCCAGCCAAAGCTGGCAGCGTTAACTCTTCACTTGCTGGTCAACACGAGTATCTGAAGAAATACAGGTGAGTGTGAGGCACCCCTGGCACCTTAACAGAATGGAAGTGGCTAGGTTGGGACTTGGGAAGAAGAATGCTCTGTAACTCCATGCTTCTAGGAAGGAAATGTTACCTGGGTGAGGTTTACTCCCCCCAGCAACCTAACAAGGAACATAGCACCTCGGTGCAGGGGAGGGGGCAATGTCTGGTGTCTCTNTTAATGAAATCGAGTTTGATACCCCTGTTCTAATTCATGCCCTGAAGCATCTTCCCATAATCAAATTTTAAGTGCAACATAGGACTAATACTTTATTAACACTCAAACTAGAAGTTGTATATTGAAAGATAAGATTAAATATGCACAAAATGGAACTAGAACTGACCAAATCTACCCATTAGCCATTAATCGGGAAGGAGCTAAATCCATTTTCTAGCACAGTGGATTAGGGACGCAATTTTGTAGAGATAAAAGTATGATACAGTCCCAGGGAGACGCGCATAACATTGGGCTACAAAACTCTTATTATTGACATATTTAAGACAAGCACATGAGGGATTGGCTTATCAACTAATTACATAAAGCCTTAAATACAACACCAGTCACAGAAAATAGTGGCTGGAAGGATTGAATTAAAATAATATAACTGAATATAAAGTTGATAGATTATAAGCTTGAAGTTTCTGTTCTGGTTTGAACATTCTCAGCAGCACATTGACCATAAACAAGTTGTACACCAGTGGAAATAGAGCATGTATGAGCATAGACCATTTGGGAGAAAGTCCCAGAGATACCCTTTTCTTGGGTTCCAGATGTCATGACTCTTATTTTGAACATAATAGATTAGTAGGATTCAACCGAAAATATTCCTAATCCAAAAAACCTTTTCTGTCAATGGTCAAGAAAACATGAAGCTGATGAATCATGCAATACCGTTATAGAACATATCATCCATGTTCCTTAAGTTCCTTAAGTGACTGGTAAAAGCCTACTATTTCTTCCAACAACACTAGGCAGTGATAAGCTTATTTTAAGGACACTGCGTCATCTCGTGTTAATAAATAAGTGGAAGATTCATAGCAACGTTCAGAGTAATACAAGCGGATAACTGATGAGAGAGACTGGTAGAATCAGATAAATTACTGAACTATCTTTGGAAGAGAAACAGCTATGAATTAATGTTGGAACTAGGTTAAAATGGCAAGGATTTGCACGCCTGGATCTAAGCCCAACAGAGTGGCACTTTCCAAATCATTAATTAAGCCCCAATGCACTTGTGAAGATGCAGAAGGACAAAAACATCATCTCTGTCTATATCACAATCATAAGAATCACTCAATGAAGTTCTCTTCCCCATGTTGGGTGTAAGGTAAGTATCAGTATGTATTATGTGCTTTACACCAGTTGCCCCCAACCCTTTTGGCACCAGGGACCGGTTTTATGGAAGACAATTTTTCCATGGACCAGGGCATAGGAGATGGACGCAACCTACATCCAGTTGCAGTTTACAGTAGGGTTTGCTTGCCCACTGCCCACCTCCAGCTATGTAGCCAGGTTCTAATAGGCCATGTGTGCACCTTATCAGTATGCATCCCAGGGGTTGGAGACCCCTGCTTTATAGGAAGGGAAACAACAAAACTGATTGTCAATTAATAATGTTAAACTTGACTTCCTATATGATAAACCTAAAATCTTGGTTTAAATAATATGCTATTTCCCAACAACCGCAAAGTGTTATGGATTAATCACCCAACATCTTAAAATAATGTTTGTGCTACAAAAACCGCAGTGAAACAGAAACTACCCTGCTCCCATGCTGGCTTCATTTATCACGTTGTGCAAATCCAATATGTCCAGAAACATTTACTTTTATCTGTTGGACAAAAAGTATTCCCAATTGCTCTGTTTTCCAGATCCCACATCCTAATCTCACAATTTAATTGGTCTCTCTGCCAGTTAATCGGGTAAAGGTAAAGGGTTCCCCTCGCATATAGTGCTAGTCGTTGCCAACTCTAGGNGGTTACATGGGCGGCAATCCACTCGCATCCAGTCACATGGGTGGCAAGCCACTCCCACAAAGGAGGCCACACCCACAGAGTAGGTTCCAACAATTTTTGAAACCCACCACTGGTCACAATGTTAATAAATGGTGACAATATGACTTCTCTTAAGGGTATTCTAAGAATTTTGAGGGCATGAGAAACATTAGGTCTTCAGATCACACATCTTTATGACCCAGTAACAGGAAACTGAAGATTTAAACCATGCACCATACTTTTCATAAAAAGGAGGACCATGCCTACTCCAGTAAACAATTCTATCTTGGAGGATTAAAATGAAATGGTCCTCAATTCTAAAATGTTCTTACTTTTAAGGAGTAAAAAGCTAATCCTGAAAGAGGCCACCTTATTAGCCCCAATTTTACCATACTTGAAGAATTTCAGAAGATGATTTATATCATGGAAATTGCTCCACTATTTTTTTCCAATAGTTTGGAATATCTGTATTTGATCACTTAATTGTTCTTATTGTAACTAAGTTATCAGTCAGAGAAGGCCATCAAAAATGACCTTTGAGTCATAGTAGGGACAAAGGAAATGATCTTCTTGATAATGTCATCCCAAAGCCATTTCATGTTTACAGCCTGAATCAAGAACAAGGGATTTTTTTTTGGGGGGGGGGGGGAGGCGAGAAGAGAAAATGAATTGAAAACCCTATAGAAGCACATGCCTCCAAATTTTATCATATGTGGGAATTAATTTTATTTTAAGCAATAAAGAAACCAAAAACCAGATGTGTCAGCGAGCTGACAGACCAAGTGTTCTACTGAATAAAAATCATACCTCTAAATTTTAAAAATGCAGATTTCTCAATGGAATATTTTAACTGTTCTCCCTGGCTTTTACTTTTTTACGGAGAGTTTTAGGGAGGGAGGGAGGGAGGGAGGGAGGGAGAGACCAATTTACAAATCATATTGAGGCATGTTTTGGTTAACCATTATTGACTAAACTTCCAACTAGGTGAGTTCACACAAAATGCCAAGCCCCAAACATGGGTACCGAGCCACAAAGTATTAATTCACACAAATAAACTACATGAAGACTTAGCATGCTGTGTGAACCCCTTCTGTTTGATCTTCAGGAAAAGTTCTAAAGGATCACCAATTCTTGAATGTCCTTTCCAGCTATTTAACANTCCCTGTTTTAATTTAGAAACTCAGATCATAATCTCTCAACTACAAAACACAGGTTTTAAGGAATTAGAATCTAGCTATTGCTATAGCCGGGATGTGATGGCTCAGTGGCTAAAATACTGAGCTTGTTGATCAGAAAGATTGGCAGTTTGATAGTTTGAACCCCTAGTGCCACATAATGGAGTGAGTTCCTCTTACTTGACCCAACTTCTGCCAACCCAGCAGTTTGAAAGCATGTAAAAATGCAAGTAGAAAAATAGGAACCACCTTGGGTGGGAAGGTAAAAGTGCTCTGTGTGCCTTTGGCATTTAGCCCTACCAGCCACATGACCACGGATATGTCTTCAGACAGCGCTGACTCTTCAGCTTTGAAACGGAGATGAGTACTGCCCCCTAGAGTTGGGAATCACTAGCACATATGTGCAAGGGGAACCTTTACTTTTTATTGCTATAGCCAAAACAGTGATTCACCAATGTTGTAAAATAAATACAAAGTCCAATTTTGAATAGCACATTCTTATATGCAATGCGTCTACAAGAACTCCCATACCCATTCCTGAGTAGAGATGTTTAAATATTGCCTTTCTAAACAATTATTTGGGCTGCTTTGAAGAATTTCTCCCTTTTCCCAACGCTCTTTCAGGAAATGCATATTAATGTGTTCCACTTCATTAATAACATTAATAGAGGGGAGACAAAAAAATTTGTAAGATATCTCAGAGGCAAGCTTGGGATATGTAAAATGACCCAAAGACGCTGAATCAGCAAGTGCACAAAATGAACACTATCTAATAAATAAAATACTTGTGTTGTTGTTAAATGTAGGAGAAAAGGACAAATATGAATCCCAAGTGAAAGAAATTGTTAATATTCTAGCATACAGGAAATCCAAGCGAATAGCTGGGGATGCATTATGCATGAGATAAAATCCTTGAGCGGTGATTCAGAGTTCCCATGACTACAATATAATGCAAAGTAATGCCTGGAGTCTGAGAACATCGCCAAGAGCTCCCTCTGAGGTCTTTGAAGCCGTCTCCTAACAGAAGAACAGCACAAAGATGTCACTACAGGGTGTAAAACAAGTACCAGTGGGGCACATAATTCAACTTTAGGGAACCACTTGGCTACCCAAGGTATGTTATCTCTCCAAGTCGTTCTCAAGAATACTGCAAAGTACCAAAGTTCAAGCAGGTGAGTAATTATTCACCAGCAATCTTCCTTGATATTATTTTGACCAGTGGTGGGATTCGAATTGTTTTATTACTGGTTCTGTGGGCGTGGTTTGGTGGGTGTGGCAGGGGAAGGATACTACAAAATCCCCTTTTCCTTCTGATCTGGGACTTGGGAGGCAGAGAATGGACAGGGGCGTGGCCAGTCAGAGGTAGTATTTATTGGTTCTCCAAACTACTCAAAATTTCCACTACTGGTTCTTCGGAACTGGTCAGAACCTGCAGAATACCACCTCTGGTTCTGACCCAGGCTTCTTTAAAAAGTAAGAAACAGAGTCTTGGTCCTGGCAAAACCTCTTTTATATACATGACTGTGAATTCCTTTCATTCACAGTCAGCAAGGCTTAGCAAGCAATCTTTCAGAGGAATAGTTATCAACATGAACCTTATCTCATTTGGAGAGCTGCCAGATAAGTCGACCCTGCTTTCTTAGTTGTTCTTGTCTTCTGGCAACTCTGTGATGCGCAGACTGGGAACAGGCTCCCTAACCCTCACTGTTGTCTAGCTCTCTCTGCCTCCAACGCAGAGCCCTCGTCTGAGCTTTCCTCAGCCCCCAGGACTGGCTTATGTTCCTCCCCAATCTCCTCACTGTCTGACTCTGCTGCCAGCTCTGTTGGCCGCTGGTGGGCCCCAACAGATATGTTGCAAAGAATGTTTGGGATCACACAGTGCAATAGAGATGCATATTTTTTTCTGGTTTGAAGATCATGCTTAGCTTTAAAGCCATGGCTAGTTTTCCCCAAAAATACCACATGGAGTAAATAACTTTCACTTGATTTGATACTAACTCTACTTAGTATCAAATTGAATGAATGCAGCTGCTCTTCAGTTAATACAATCACTTTCCATTTTTATCGGGAGGTGGGAGATTGTGAGTCCACATCCCACTGTTGCTTTATGAAAGCCAGCTGGTTGACTTTGGACCAGTCACTCTCTCACAGCCCAACCCACCAGACAGGGATGCTGTGTGATGGATATGTGCACTGCTTTGAGATACTTGCAAAAATAATAAAAAGGATAGAAATAAATAAAGTCACAATCAGAGGTGGGTTCCTACCAGTTCGCACCTATTCAGTAGAACCGGTTCGTCAAATCTACTGAACCGGTTAGAAGAGGTTCCACCAGTGGACCTGGAAAGCAGGCCACACCTACAGAAGAGGTTCCNTCTAACCACCACACCACTGTAGCCCTGTGTACTAAACTAAATGTGCACTAATCTGATGCTGATAACAATAGTTTAGCATACTGAAAAGCAAGGTCTGGATGAAAGTTGGATGCCCCACCATCCCTTTCAATTTACTTAGAAAGCTGGAGACTTCCATCTTGCTCAAACGCCTGCCGTCCCCCATGCAGAATGGAAAGAAACAAAACAATTACCTGCAGCAGTTATACCAGGCAATAGAAGCTCAATATGGCTTAACGTTATGTGCTTCAATGATTCATGGAAACCGCCATGTTCCTTTCTCCAGAATCTATTGCGCTATCCAGTCAAGTAAAATCTGGTGAAGCTGAGTTCTGGAAAGATTAAAAAGAAAAATAGCCTAGTAACTCATTCAAATCTAAGAACTTTTAGCCACAAACATTCTTTGGAATGCATCCTCCTGAAATTTGGCAGATAATCTGAAGAAATTAGTGGTTTAATTCTGTCAATTCCAGCACTAGACAAAACAAGTTTGAACAGGATCTAGTAAATGCATTTCTGCAGTTTGTATTAAACGTGGTTTTTCTTTGTGGCTCAACATTTTGTGTGATCCCAACTTTTTTTGGTTAGTTCAATGTATTCTTTAAACCCAGGGAATGAATTAATAAATAATAAATAGGTTGATATTTTGGCTGACTGTAGGCAAAATATGCTTTGCCTTCAGTTTAATAATACATTTTAAAGAAAAGAATTAAGCCCCCAAACCAGTATTTTGGTTTGTTAAATCATTTTGCCCTAGTCACCTCCAAAAATTGTTTTTAAAAATTTTTATAGTACTAACAAAGATCACTAGCACTGATGATGTTATCTAGTTTGGGTAATGAAACGTCTGCAAGAAAACAACCCAGCTCAGAGAGCACCAAGGACCGCCCTTAAATCATGGTTTCCCTGTTTTAATTTAGAAACTCAGATCATAATCTCTCAACTACAAAACACAGGTTTTAAGGAATTAGAATCTAGCTATTGCTATAGCCGGGATGTGATGGCTCAGTGGCTAANATATTCCTTTTCTCAGGGATCCCAATCCGAACAACGCTCGACAACTCCACCACCGTTCAGTATGCTGGCCTTCTTCATCAACTCACCATGAAAGCCAAGAGCACAGTCAGAGACATTGATCCCCAGAACGATCTCACCTTTCTCAGGATTAGATCAAAGAAACATGAAATTATGGTTGCCCCAGGTAATAACTTTTGTCTTTTTCCCTGCCGTTGCTTTGATGGCTCGTGATGTTTTTTAAATTTCTGCAAGCCTGCCACAAAATGTCTGTTTAATCATACATTATTAAAGGGGGGATCACTTTAAGGATAAGCTGCCTGATGCCAGGGCTTTCAAGTGTTCACATATCAAGACAGCAAAGTCTTATTTTATCTGTCAGGATTGTGGCAGCATCTGAATCCAGCTGGTGGCTATACTGAACGAGATGAAGAACTGATCTAAGGCAGCTTGTTACGTAATGGGAATAATTGTTCCAGGATGGATTTGCCCAATTAATAGACAGTTGCAATAATTAAACATTATTGCAACGGTTTACATTTGGAAGATATTTTAACACATTAGACAGATTTTCTCTTGGGCTTTTTAGGTTTATACATCATTAAACTACAACAACTGTGTTGAAAATTGAAGTTTTACTTACCATTGTGGGGAAACTGGAATAAGCAGTGGCTTTATTTGTATCGACCATAATAAATTATGAAAAGGAATATTGGAAATCAAATGTGGAATAAAAATTGCTGTATTTCATCCTGTATTTCCTCCTCCCACAGATAAGGAGTACCTTCTCATTGTTATCCAAAATCCATGTGAATAGATCTACTACTCCAGTCTAAGTGAGCTGTGCTACAATTTTGGAAGTGTCCAGTCTAACCTATGCTAAATTAATGTCATAACATTCCACTAAGAAATTTGTCTTAAATTTAAATCTGTGGAATCAGGAAAGGTCTTTGTGTCGTTGTACAATCTCATTGTATTTGCCTTTTGATTATGAAAGTGTATTCCTAACTCCTTAAAAAAATAATAAACCCAAATGTTTAAAGCATGCATTAATTTGAATGTGTCTATGTGTAAAATTCAAAACACACATCTAAAATTAGAGCTGTCATTCAAAAACAATAACTAAGCAAGTTAGAATTAAGGAATGGTTACAATTCATATGAAGATAAAATACATTAAAATATCTTTCATTTCAGTTTAACAAATATTCAGCTTCAAATAAAATGTATTTAGAATTAGTGACTTCAGTAGCTATTAGGCTCCATTGAGGGGAAAAACATTTTAATTTTTTCTGATTGAACTCATTAAAAGCTACATTTGGCAACTGCTAAAACTAATGTTGCCATTTTTCTTATTCAATTTGCTTGAAGCATATTTATGTGACTATAAACATAGCAACTCAGAGTAACTTCCAAATAATGTAATACACCAATTCTTAAACACATGGAAAAGGAATTGTGAAAGAATGGGAGAAAATCTAGCTGAAAGTAACTTCAGTTATTTTTTATTCACTGAACTGTTTTCTGTGCCAGTGTTAAATACGGTACTTCATGGATGATATTGAAATATATACCATAATGAAATCTCATTGGAACTACCAAGCCTGACCATTATCCCATTTTGCTGAATTCAGGTAAGTAGTCTTCTAGTTATATTCCCACAAACATTCAGGTTGTATATTCTCTGAGGTTGATTAGAATGCAGAATATTAATTTTTGAGATACTGAAATGAGAAGCACTAAAATTGGGCATAATAAAATTTCTTGGGTGACAAAATTTGATATCATACTCAGTAGCAGTGATATAATGAAACAGCTGATTAGCTTGTGCTGTTGAATTCTATGCATAGGATAATTCTAAAATGGAAAATTAAGTATTGACATAGAGGCCTTCTGTTTAATTGAATGAATGAAATTGTTGCTTCAATGCATGGTNATCAAATAATCAAAAACAAACAAACAAACAAATAAATAAATAAATAAATTTTTACACTGCATATCAAGGTCTGGTGAAACTGGAGCTGCATTTAAGAAAATTCTTGTATTGCTCTGTCCCGAGCTCAGCAGGGTTGGGTCATTCTTTTGGATTTGGAAGTAATGACCCCACCAATAGAAGAATTTAAGGCTTTAGTCCAAGCATTAGAACAACATAATAACATGAGACAGAAATTAAAGACTATTCAAGGACACTGAATATATCATAGCCTCAAAGAGCAAAGAATTCATTGTCAATTATTTCATTTTCAAATGATGCACTGATGACTAATATCAATCTTTTATAAATCTTGCCTCTGTTCTTTTGGAAAGAAGGCAGTTGATATAGAAAAAAAACAGTGTGCCAAAGTTTTCATTTATTCTAATGGCAAAATAAAAGAAGTTGGAATGGATTCTTGTCAACCTCGAAGATTTTCTGCAAGATAATCTATTTTAACCCAATCCCTCAGATCTTCCAACTATGGACTTATTGCTGTAACTGAATTTTCTGCCTTGCTGCTAATCTTCTTGATCTTCTTTCCACCTAAACTTCTTTGGTGTTTGTCTGTGGAGATTCTCAACCACCCAGGCCACTCTTATCCTAAAAGTGTTTTTTTCAAGAGGCAACTGGACTTTCTTTGTTTTTATTTGCAGAAGTTTCCTTTGGTGTTTGTTCAGCAATTTTTTGCTCAGTTGTGCTGGCAAAGTTTCTTCTGTGCAAGATGGCTGCTTCAAGGTCTGTAATAGAGTGTGCTGGAAAGTTAAAATGCTCTGATACTATCTTGTCAAAATTGCATCCAATAACTCTTTGGTGTAAACTTTAGTTTGTATGTCCCATAGAGTCCAGTGGACCATTGTTGGTAGATGGTGGCATGTACCAACATTAGAGAAAATGTCTGTGAAGGTGCCTTCAATTCACTAATTCACCATTTTTGGAATCTGTAAAGGTTTATTAATCTAAGCAACATGAGGGGGAGATAAAGGTTGAGCATCAGAAGGTAAATGTTCAGAAAGCATTGTTCTAGGTCAGTCATAAAGATGTTGACATAATGTGGAGCCATACATGTACCCACACCTTGGTAGCAAGGTATACTGTATTGACATAAGTAATAATTTCTTCTTGGCCTGAAATCCACATTTGAGAGTATTAGTGTATAGTACGCCAGTAGGTAAAATTGTATGGTTGAGAAGATTGATTATAGATTTTAGTCTTCTTATGGAGTGGGTTGTGTTTTTTTATGAGAGTGAGAGCACTGGTGGCACATAGTTTGAGTACAGCACCCATAAAATCTGGTAATTGAACTCTGATGGTTCAGATGCTTGAACAATTTCCCTTGTTTGTGTATTTAAGGAGGTGAAAGGTAAATATTCCCCTCACACATAAGTGCTAGTCNAGGCAGCATTAAGCAAAGTCAGCACAATTTTGCTTTGAGGAAAAATAGCAAACCTTGGCCTGTCTTTGGAAATGGACATTGTTCCACCTGGATGTGGAAATTGCTGTACAATTCATCATTTACCAACCTAATCCATTTACTTTTCACAACTACATAAAATAAACAGATGTAATACAGGAAATCATTTTTCTCTCTATGCGTATAAAAACTCACAATATGTTTACAGAGTAGGTGCAAGTATATGCATTGTGATAGACACAACTAGAGATGGTTAGACATGTCTGCACCCATAGATGTGGGTGTATATCCACACATGTCTGTATATATTACTTTTCACCGTAAAGATCTTTATATCAGCAAATAACAATATCTACCTTTGAGAGGAAAATATCCAATCTGCACCTGTACTCAGGGTCATTCCGAGTTGGGCAACCCTGTTAAATAAATACATAAATCACTTCCCCCACTTTATCAGCCTACATGTTGCATAGAGGTTCCCATTTATAAATGTGCAGGAGTCCAGAGGACTCCATGTGGCACATACAATCAATCAATCCAGGGGTGGGTTGCTGTCGGCATTACTGCCGGTTCAGTGCGCACGCTATTTCCAGCCGTCAAACCACTACCATTTCAGCTGAACTGGTCCGAACTGGTAGAAACCCACCATTGAAGCAATCAATCAATTAATCAGAATAGAGCTGGAAGTCTTCTATTCAACCCTCTGCTCATACGTCTACATTTTAAACATGCAGATTTCTTAATGGAATATTTTAACCGTTCTCCCTGGCTTTTACTTTTCTACAGAGGGTTTTACAAATCACATTAAGGCATGTTTTGGTTAACCATTATTTGCATTTTTATATTGCACTAATACTATTTATCTTTTTTAAAAAAAATCATATTAGTGGTCTGCAGGATTTTAAATTAAGAATTTTATTAAATTATCAATTTCAGGTGCAATTCAAGGTGCTGGTTGTCACCTTTAAAACCTTTCATGGCTTGGGACCAGGTTATATAAGGGACTGTCTATTGCCGGACACATCCACCCGACTCATCACAGTGGGGAGGAAGGGAATGTTGCGGGTCCCATCCCTGAAGGAGATACACCTGGTGAGACCCAGAAGAAGGGCCTTCTCTGTGGTGGCTACCTCTCTCTGGAACATCATTCCACCAGAGATTAGAATGGCCCCTTCTTCCGGAAGGTACCAAAGACCTGGTTCTGCCAATGGGCCTGTGGAACCCAAAGTGGGTTGGAGCCCATTAAATGACTTGTGTGATCAACTGGGGGCTGGTGGGTGATTTTATTACATTAATTTACTTGTATTTTTAATTAGTTTTACTGTTTTTAGATGTGGTTTTTACATTCTGTAAGCCGCCTTGAGTCGCCATGGGCAAATAGGCGGCAATATAAAT